CCCTTGTCCTGCGCGCCCCTGCAGGCACTCACGGTGGCGGACGCCGGGGGACAGCCCGGGACGCCGCGTGTCTGCACGAGCCGACCGCACTAAGGCTGGACGCGCAGCGGCTTCCCGGGCGGCCGGGTGCAGTGGCTCTCGTTCCCTGCTTCGCACACAGCGGAGGGGAGGCGCTGGCCGCATTGTCTGGTCTTCGGCGTCACTGCTGACGACGGCCCATGATGAGTGAAGGTCCCTGTGTGAGAACGTCTGCTCCCGGCTCGCCCCAATGGGCACGCCTTGCCCCTTCTCTGCCCCCAGACCCCGCAGGAACCTGCACCCATGGGCCCTGGACCCCCTGTCCCCTGCGGCTCTCAGTGGAGTCTGCTGAGGAGGCAGGGGGTGTGTCCTCGTGGGCCACCTAGATTCCTGCGTGTGGGGACGCGTGCGGGAACGCAGCCCTGCCGGCGGGGGCTCCCCGCCTGTCCTCCAGCTCCACAGCGGTGCCTGATGCCTCGTCCTGAACACTTGCCCTATGGGACATTCTCGACCTGCTTTGGTTTCTCCACGCAGGTGGGACCCTGCAGGAGGCTTACATCCTGGTCCCATGAGGTTAGCGGTGGCCACATGACATGCTCGGCCAAAGCGATGCCTGTCACGTCCATGCAGAAGCACGTCTGAAGCTCTCGGGGACGCGTCCCTGGGTTGGGGAGTTTGAAGCGACGGCACGGTCTCTGTCTGCCTGCGCCCCTGCGCCTGCCCGGGGGGCCGGGCGAGCCCCCCCGCCTGCTCCGTGAAGGCCGTAGAGTGGGGCTGGGCCTGGTGGGAGCTTTCTCGTAAGGTGGACCCTCCTGACCGCGTGACCCTGTTCATGTCATTGTTGATGCCTTTCCGGTCACCTTGCCCTGCTCTGGGTTAAACAGTTGTCCTTCACAAGGTTTGCATGTGTGTGTACCCACATACACGTTTGCTGAAGTCACAAGGCTCAATTCATGAAAATTTTAAACATCGCCTTTAGAGACTTATGGGTACAGGGAAAGCTAGATGTGGATTCATATACATATTTTCATGGCAGAGAAGTATGACCGAGTGATCAATAAGAGACTTTCAGCCATAAAAATAGAACACATTAGGGTAGAATTCTGTGAAAGAAATAAAATGGATATGCACGCTAACAGCAAAAAAAAAAAAAAAAAAAAAAAAAAATCAATACGAAATTCCAGTCTGGTAGAGAAAAGGTTGTCTGTGTGTTTTCTTAAGACGAATAATGGAGAGTAGCAAATCCGCCATGGTATTTAGATTCCGGTGAATACTTTTAGGAGAATGATATAACAGTTTAATTTTAAAATGTCAATAGTTACAGTATGCTGAGAATTTCAACCTTTGCAGCTTAGGAGGGAAAATTTTAAATGTCACCTTTAAAATGCGCCCAGGGACGCAGAGGCTTGTAAAAATCATTCTGGAGCACTGCTGGCCAATAGCGTTCCCTGCGACGGCGTCTTCTGCGCCTGCACCGTCTTGTGCAGCCTAGCGCCCTGTGGTGTGCCGCAGAGGAAGTTCACGTGTTTCATTTATCTTATCCTGTCACGGTTGCAGAGGGTCTTACGACAGGGCCACCTTTTTCTCAGCTGTCTTTTCAGGGTGTATGCAAGCAAGGCGACTGGGTTATTGGCCCATCAGAAGTAAGAAAAGGTCCACGGAAAGTTGGGAAAGTATTTCTTTTCACCACTGGTTACAGCAGCATTTAGGCCTCCCCTGCCATTTCAGCCTCCGCTGAGACCGCCCCTCCTTCTCACCGAAGCGCTTGGGAAGGCCGGCTCCGTCGCCTTCTCCCAGGTGACGTGTGAGGACTTGGGCTGCTGGACGGTCTTGTCCTCGCCGCCCAGTGCGTGGCCCGGTGGCGACAGGAGCGCCGGCCAAGGCGGAGGGGGCACCTTCTCCTCCTGCTCCGGCGCCTGGGCGCGTGGCAGGCGGGTGGACGGCCACAGGCGTGTGCGTGGAGGGCGGGCACCGGAGCACCCGGGGCGGACACTCTGCCCTGGCCCTGCTTCGCCCCAGGGCTGGGTCTGGGCGACGTGGGGGCAGGGCTCGGGGCGGGGCATCCGCCGACCGACTCCGTGCACCTTCTTGGCAGGAAAATGTTTTGCCTTGTTTTTAAAACATTTTTCATTAATGTATAGTTGGTATACAGCATTTTACTCGTTGCACGTGCACGACGTAGGGATTCAGCGTTGACGCACCTTACAGGGCGGCCGCCACCCTAGGCCTGCTGACCAGCCGTCGCCTGCAGAGCGGTTACCTTACTGCCTGTGTCCCTTCCTCTTGTCTGCTCATCCCCACCCACACCCCGGCAGCCAGCAGTTTGTTCTGTTTCTATGAGGCTCTTTTTAGAAAATTGGTTCTGAGGGAGAAAACACGAAACGGAACGTGTAAGTCACCTGTAAGCAAATCGCCTAAGATGTGTCTGTCCACATCCGGCTTTCTCATACACACCTGTACTTTTGTCTCTATTGTCCACGGGGAGAAGCACCTGCAATTAAAATTGGCATGTCAGAAACCTGCCCTCTTAAGCCAGTGTCAGAAGCAGTTGTTTTCCTGTCTCCACTTTTGTTTCTAGGAGGTTTGAGCGGGCAGGGAGCCGGCCAGCAGGGCTCGGCAGGAGCGGGGGCGGCCGGACGCAGCGCTCCCTCCGGCCGCGGCCCGGCAGGGCCTCCTGCGTGGCCCGGAAGGAGGTTTCAGGGGCGCACTGTTTCTCAGATTGAAAGGCTGCCTTTGGACATGGGCTTCCAGAAAGGATCCTTGTTGGAAGCGCCAAGATGAGCCCAAGGGAGAGAAAAGGGGGGACTGGCAAGGAGCTGGCGCGGGAGCGGGATGCGGGGGCGCCGCCCCGCGAGCCGGTGGACCGGCCAGGAGACGTGAACAGGCAAAAATGAGCCTCAACACTCGGTGACCGTAGTGCATATGGAAGACGGCACTTCCAGTCAACCCCCGGCGCTGGGCGCATTAGTTAATAAACAGTGCTAATGAGCCCTGTGTGGGCAAAGCTGCGGCCGGGGCTCTAAGGTAAGTTCCAGATGGGTCCGGGGATTAATTTCCGTACAAAACGGCTTCCTAGTACACAATAGAAACAAGGCCAACAAAGCAGAGAAATGGGCAAAGGATGTTAACAGGCGTTTTACTTCTTCGAATCTAAGCATATGAAAAAAAATTCAGTGCCCCTCAGGTGTCATGAAATAGGGCTTTTATTATCAGATCGACAGCGATTATAAAGGTGAGAAAAAAGGCACACAAGACCCACAGTGAGCGTGTAAATCGGCGGCATCTCTTCGGCGATTTACAAGTGCTGTCAAAGCCGAGCGGTTCCTCTTTCCGACGTGCCTGCCTGCGTGCGCGTGCACGTGCACCTGTGCATGCGTGCGCGTGTACAGAGCTGTGTGGGCGGAAACTCTTGGAACCCTGATTGTAGCAGCAGCGTGGAAACCGCTGGCTTGTCTGGCCAATCAAATCGCCCGTTGGGTAGATTTCGTTTGGCCGCACCCGCCCTGCGGAGAAGTGTGCAGTGTGTGAACCGAGGACCTCTCGGCGCGGGTGTGGAGCCGTGGCGACCAGACACGCGCACGCTGCGGGAGCACGCTTCCCCCTGCCGCTGTCCGGGAGCGAGCGCGCTGATGGGGCGCTGACGCGGCCGCCTCTGCGGAGAGGACGTGCAGGCAGGGAGCCTGCTCCTTTCCCCGCCGGGCGTTGGCAGTGTGCCCGCCTGCCTGCCTTCTCACTGAGGTTCGGGCAACGCGGGCAGCTCCGCCCCAGAGGCGCCCTGTAGGTGCGAACTGTTCGCGGTCGCCCAGGCTTTTCCTTAGGACGGAGGCGTGTGTCCTGGCCGCTCCTCGGGGCCACTCTGGAGGGTGCGGGCGCGGCAGGCGGGGGTCGGGGCTCCCTGGGAGCTCGCTTCCCGCTTCCCGCTTCTGTGCGGGAATCCACAGGGTCTGGGACGGAAGGTCCCTGCGGATCAGCACAGGCTCGTACGCGGGCGGGAAGCGCAGGGCGTCCCAGCGCGCTTCCTTGTCGTCCGACCCTGGGTTCACAGTCCCGAGCGTGTTCCCGGCGCGCGGGTTACTGCGTCAGCTGCCCACGTGCGGAGTCGGTGCTGCTCGAATACATGCCTGCGTTGCGGTTCAGGGCTGAGCTGGGCTGCTGGCTGGACTTCACACTGCAGAAAAGCTCATGGACCCCGCGCATTCGATCGGGGCGCCCCCGGGGCGGGCCCTGCGGAGCTCCGCTCAGCTCGACCGCGTCCGGCAGGACCGGCTGGAAGCCACAGCCGAGTCCGCGCGACGGGACAGGAGGGACGGGGCTCCCAGAGCTCACGGGGCCGGGGCAGGACGTCGGGGAGGCTGATGGTGGCTTTTGAAGGAAATCCTGTCCCGAGCCCGTGCGGACGCGGTGGGAGACGCTGTGGAGTCGCCCAGGCTCAGTGACAATGCAGAGTGGAGGCGCGATCGCAGGGTGGGGCCGTGCGCCCCGTTGAGGGAACGGAGAGCCTGCTCTTCTCTGCGGCTGAGAGAAGAGAGGGAAGGACGGGGCTCAACAAAGCCTCGCTTGGCAGGGGTTTGCTGGGCTGTGAGCCAGAGGGATGTGCAGTCTCACTCGTGAGTCAGGAAGGGTGTCGTTTCCCCAGTGGACAGCCTGCTGCCCCGGACACGATGGGGGAGGTGGGGACGGAGACGGGGTCCCCCTTGCTGCCACTTTCCCACGGTGCGGCCGTCGCAAACCTGGAGGCGGCCCCGTCTGCCCCTCTCGGCGCCGCCGTCTGCCCAGGCGCCCTCAGGCCGCCCTGTCTGTCCCCTGGTGTCCTCGCTCCAAGTCCCTTCCCCTTCCCCAGGGAAACAGGTCAGGGGGCGGGAATGGGGCTGCCTGTGTCCCATCCACTCCGACCCTGGAGCCGACACCCGCCGGGTGCCCCGGGCCCACTGCCACCCAGGGGCCCGCGGAGGGCGCAGCTGAGCACTTCCTGTCTCCCACAGGGCGACGGTGAAGAAGGGCGTGCGTGTCGCGGGGGTCCGAGCCAGCAGCCCCTCCGTCTGGGAGGTCAGGGAGAGCCCGGACCGCGCCGGCAAGTCCGTTCCAGCTGTCATCGTCTGTCACAGGAAGCCTGCTGGCCCGGAGAACAGGTGAGTGCCCTTCGCCGTATTTAGATTTGGCTGTGACAGTGGCTTCCTGCGCCCGGATTGGCGGGCAGCCGCATCCAGCGCGGTTTGCGTGACGCCTTCGGAGCAGGGCGGCTCTGCGCACAGGCCCGGCCCGGCCCGGCCCAGCGCAGGCTGGGTGACCTGTGGGGACTCGCCCACATGGACGAAGTCACCTGTGAATGATGTCACTCTGCTCGGTGGCCTTTGTCAAACCCGTGTTTGAGGGGGACCCAGAGTACGGGCATCTCTGACAAAACCGCCCATGGGCAAGGTTGGCTGAGCCAGCGTGTGTCTCGGCCCGCGGGCTGCACGGACTCGGACATGCCACGCATGGCTGTGCCCATGCTCGGTCGTTGGCTGAGGCGCAAGAAGCGAGAGCCGCGGAGAGATGACCGTCTGGATGCGCGTGCACAGGAGACGGCTGGGGCACAGCAGGGCGGGGGCGGGCGCGCGGCACTCGGCCGGACTCGACTGAATCCTTCTTCCCGGAACCTCGCCGGGGGGTTCTGTCCGGTCACCTCCTGTTGCCACTTTTACGGGGCTCTTTGCTCTTTCTATTACTGAAACTTAAAACAGTAACAAACAAACAAATCCCTGGTTTGAAACGCTTCACTCATTTCTGTAGTCAGGGTTTTAAATTCACAGCTTTGTGTTTGGAAAATACGTTTATGTTCCATTATTTATCCCAGTGTAGAGGCCTGGAGTTTAGCAGGTGGCTGTTTCTCTTTTCTGCGGTGTGTTTCCCAGGAGCACTGGACTCCCTTTCGGGGGTGATCTCGCTGTGCTCCCCTGTGTGCCCTTAGCCTGTGGGCTCCCTGCTCCAGCCCCTGATTGGGGTCCTCGAGTCTGAAGCTCTGGCGTGGGAGCCTTTCCTATTGTGAGCAGTGTTTCTAGACTTTTTCTGGAAGATTTCCTTGTAGGGCTGATGGGAGAAAAGGAGGAAACCGTGGGCAAGCTCTGCTGTCCACGCGCCCACAGCGCCCCGTGCCAGGCTGGCGGCCGCGCGGCCTCCCGGGCGCACAGGCATCGTGTGATGGGGGAAATGCCGGCACCGCGGTGAAGGGGCTGCTGGTGTTGGGCCGTTGGCAGGAGTCGGGGGGAAGGGAGCGAGGGGGAGGCTGCAGGCGGTGAGTGGTCTGCACACAGACGTGGCGCCAATTTCCATCAGGGGAGGGATTCGGGGCAGAAAGCGGCTGTGTTTTCTCCGTCCTCTTCTTGCTGCCTGCTCCGTGGATCGGTGTTGGTAGAAGGGGCCGCCCCGTCACCTGCAAAGCATCTGTGAAACGCAGAGGGGCCGGGCCTTGGACGATGGCGATGGCGGTGACGATGGCTTTGCTTTTGAATTTCCGGCTCAGAGCCCCTTAGGTTCCCCGGGGCCCGGAGGAGCAGGAAGGAGGCCGTCGGGGGCCGCCCTGTGAGGGCGCGGCCATGTGAGTGGGCGCCGAGGGCTGCAGGGCCCCCGCGGGCTCGCCGCCTCCCAGTGGACAGAGGCGCGGCGCCTGCGGAGGGGGTCGAGGCGTGGACGTGGGCGAGGGCCGCTGTCGTCGTCCGCTGGGCCACTCTTCTCTAAGGGGCGCGGGCCCTGGGGGAGTGTCCAGCTGTTCCTTCAGCAGCCCTGACGCCCGGGCGCCGCGCCCTGCGGGGGCCACACCTCCCCCGCGAGGCGCTGATGCCGGCTCTCTGTTCCCTGGCGTGGGTCCAGGGGGCGGGGCTGAGCCCACACGCACGTGTGCCTGAGTGAGACGGGACGAGTCCCTGCGGAGGGCGTCCTCTCCGCATGTGCAGTGATTGGTTACCTGTGTATGTGATAAATGTACAGACAGTGTGTGCACACAGAACCTGTGTGCACACAGAACCTGTGGGCACAAAGCCAGTGTTTGCATGTGTGCATGGATGTACACGCACACGCTTGTGAGTGGACACGCGCCCACGTGCGGACGTGCTGCTTGGAGGCCCTGTTTACTTTGGAGTCAGTTCTCGCACAGCCGCCGGGAGGCCTCCGCCTCGGGGGCAGCTGCAGGGCCCTGGCTCGCCTGCCGGGAGCCCTGCCGGTCGCGGTGCGGCCCCTGCCGCAGCGCCGTCCCCAGCTGCCCCATGGGCCGGCTGAGCGACGGTCTGGACCGAGGGTGCCCCGGGGCCCACCTCTAAGGATGCGCCACGCTGTTGCCAGCAGGCCTCCTTGGGACAGCGGCGGCCCCGGTGGGGAGCCAGGAACAGGTACTTCGCGGCAGAAGGGCTGCCGGCCGATTTCCCCAGGGGGCCAGGGGCGGGGGCAGAAGGCTGAGGGTGAAGGCTTCTGACCGTGACCCGCTGGGACTGTGCGCGTCCCCGCTTGGCGCGGCCGTTGTGCCGGCAGACGTTTGGATACGATGCGCGTGTCCGTGCAGGCGCGGCAAAGGCGGGTCCCCGTGGAAAGCAGTACAGTAACTAGTAAATAGTAACGCAAGAATTAACTCTGTTTCACGAACTCACAACTGTAAACCTGCTTTTGACCCTCCCTGTATGGTCAACTTTTAATCTTCACCTCAAATTTTTTCTTCTTTCTTCGGTCTTCGTGGAATCGGTGGGAGAAAAACGCCGCTGCTCGCCAGGACGGAGTGGGCTGGGCAGGCAGTGCCCGCGGGGCCGGGCGGCAGATGGAGAGCGCGCCGCGGAGGGGAGGCTTCCGCGCGGTTCTGCCTTGGAAACCGGTCGTTTCTACTTGCTTTCAATACATTTTAGTTCTTAAAAACCAGGACCCAGTCTCCGACGCGGGAAGAGGCCGGGTCTTAGCGAGAGTCGCGGGTCTCTGCGGCCAGTGACGCACTGCGGGTCACGGAGTCGCCTTGACGGCGCTCAGTCACTGGGGCAGGTGCCGTCCTATGGGTTAAGGAGTCACTCACGCGCCGGTGGTCAACTTAATAGAAACGGCTGAAGATTTTTCACCTACGGTGTCACACAGCCTTCCTCTTTGAAGAGGTTTGGTTGCGGAAAACCTTACTGTCACAGTGTGCCCCTAGGGATTCCATCGGGGCCCTCAGGTCCGTTTTGACTGGGTTTGCCCGGCATGGTGGGGCGCGCGAGCAGGGTCACCCGCTGTGCGCCGGCCGTCCAGGTCCGTGGGGCGTCTTCAGAGTCCAGCTCGCTCCAGCCCTGGCAGACTTAGATAAATGTGTGGCAAAAGCCGTGTATGTTCATTTCTTTGCTTGTTTCTGCGTAGAGGAGTGTTTTCCAAAGCTGAGCGCCGTTGCTATGTAAATGACTTCAGGAGGCACCCAGCAATGAAATTATATTCCATAAAGCCGAGTGACAGAAACCTACAAGCTTCTCAGTTCTCCGGCAAGACTTCCAGTTGAAGAGAAACGTGTCTCCTTTGCTTGGGGTGTCTCTACGGGCCCTGTCCTTGGCTGACAGGCTGTGGCTAGACGAGATGGCGTAGCCGGAATGGTATTTATTTTTTTTAACAATTTTCATCTACTTCAGATAATGATTTTCCATTCATTATTCACTGTAGGTAACATTTCATTTAAAAACAAACGTATTTTAAGTAAAAACTGCCACAAGAGGAAAAAAAGCTATTTCAAATGTAGATAAATATTAACATCATGAATGTACATTCAGAGTTGGGATATACAGGCTTGATATATCTCATACTATATTTGTTAGGATCAGGTTTGATTATTTTATTTCTAATGCAAATAAGAGTGACTTAAGCTAAACAGAACCCCCCCCACCCAGGCGCCTGGGGCAGGTGGGCAGGGCGGGCGTGGCCGCTCTCCAGCCCCGTAGGCCGAGCGCCTGTCTCCCTTCCACGCGGTGCTGACACGGGGCTTTCGCCCTCCCAGAGCGAGACGGCTGCGGGAGTGCCAGTCGTCACATCTGCATTGTGGGCCCAAGAACAGTGGCAGAAAAGGGTCTTCCCAGCCGGATCAACTTCCTGTAAGCAGCTTTCTTGGAAACTCATGCCAGCGCCTAATGCTCCCTTGCCTCTCACTGGCTGGGGCCCAGTCACATGAGTGCACCAGGCTTCAAAGTAAAGTGGAAGCCATCATTTATTGCAGGCAGCCCTGTGCCAGCCAAGAACCTGTGCTTGTCCCAAAGATGGAAGAGCAGACGGGGAGGGTTAGGCAACCAGAAACCTCGGTCTCAGCCATTTACAGCCAGGGCGTGTTGAGGGCGTTCCGCTAGGGTGATGGAAAGAGCCGGGGGCCTGGCGTCTCCTGCCTCTCGCAGGTTCCCGTGGAAGCGCCCAGGGCCCTCCGCAGGGGTGGGGGCCTGCACACGTGGAGCACACACCAGGAACATAGGGATGCACGCCGTCACAGGGCAGGCGGAAGTGGGTAGAAGAGGGTGCGAAGGCTGTGTCTCAAGTGCACCTGACGAGGGGCCTCGAATGGGGTTGCAGATGCCATGAAGCTGGGGACCCTACCCTAACGCAGACGGCAGGTGTGGCCCGGGTGCGCAGGAGTGTGTCCACGCCAACGGGGCGTCCTCTCTGGGCAGGCGCCAGTGTCGGCTCAAGGGACGCCTTTTGGAGCAGGCTCTTTTAACAGGCAGAGCGCCCAGAGACGTGAAAATGCCACCGTAACAGAGAATTTGAAGATCAAAGACAGAATTTCCTGCGTGGATCAGAGATGATGCTGAGCTCTGCCCCGTGTTCCCAGAGTCATCGGCAGTGCCTTGGGCAGGGTGGGCGGAGCCAGCGAGAAGCCGCCGTCTGAGAGCAGAGACGTGGGGGGATGTCGGAACGCCCTGGCCCTCCGGGGCGCGAGAGCTCCAGGAGGAAGAGGAACTTCAGAGGGGAGAATGAGAAAGAAAGAAAAGTAAGGAAGAGCACTCCCTGAAAACCCGTCCTGCAAGAATATTTCAAAAGGAGAAAGAGCACAGGACCAGGCTGCGGTGATCGGGAGCCGCCCTCAGGCCGGCGCAGGCAGGCGTGTCCCGTGGGAGTGGAAAGCAAACGTCCACCCAAGTCCACACCCACGGACTTCCCAGCAGCCCGA